ATTTATATTTATATTTATATTTATATTTATATATATATTTATATTTATATTTATATTTATATTTGTGTTTGTTTGTTACAACTAAAGAATGCAGATACACCTTGGCAGGACTACGCCTTTAAATGCAAACCGACGTCTCTCGACCAAACTCCGTGTTCTTCAGGGCCCTATCTGCATCGTTTAGACTGGCTTATGGTTAGCAAATAAGCATTCAACAAATTGCTCCTGATGCTGCTGCTGATGCTGCTGCTGATGCTGCTGCTGATGCTGCTGCTGCTGCTGTTGGTGGTGGTGCTGCTGCTGCTGTTGGTGGTGGTGCTGCTGCTGCTGTTGGTGGTGGTGCTGCTGCTGCTGCTGCTGTTGCTGTTGCTGTTGGTGGTGGCGGTGGTGGTGCTGCTGCTGCTGCTGCTGTTGCTGCTCTTGGTGGTGGTGCTGCTGCTGTTGCTGCTCTTGGTGGTGCTGCTGTTGCTGTTGGTGGTGCTGCTGTTGCTGCTGCTGTTGGTAGTGCTGCTGCTGTTGCTGCTGCTGTTGCTGCTGTTGGTGGTGGTGCTGCTGCTGTTGCTGTTGGAGATGGTGCTGCTGCTTTTATTGCTGCTGCTAATGCGAATACTGCTGTGCTGGAGGCGTCATATATATCTGCGGTTGTTGCTGCTGCAGCTGTTGCTGTTAATGTTGTTACTGTACTTGCTGCTGCTATGGTTTGTTTGTTTTCTTGTAGCTGCTGCTGCTTCTCCTGCTGCTGCTGCTGTTAACATTTGTGTGTCTATTGCTGTTGCTGCAACTTGTTTGTTTCCTTGCTGCTTCTCCTGCTGCTGCTGCTGCTCTTACCTTCAGCATAGTGCTGCGTATGAAGATGCAAATAGTGTTGCTGCTAGCCACCCTTGGTTCCCTCAGTTCCTCTCAGCGCTGCTGCAAGTAAGAAAACAACCTTAACCCTTTGCTGCTCTTGCTGCTGCTGCTGCTGCTCTTGCTGCTGCTGCTGCTGCTGCTGCTGTTGCTGCTGCTGCCGCTGCTGCTGCTGCTGCTGCAAGAGCAGCAGTAGCAGCACCAGTAGTAGCAGCAGCAGCAGCAAGATCAAGAGCTAGAGTAAGAGCAAGAGCGGAAGCATGCATGCATGCATAGCGATGCATGCATTTGTGTTTGTTTTTTGTTTGTTTGTCTTCAGAACAACAATGCAGTCGCGAGTTTATTAAAGACAAATCCTTTTAATAATGCGGAGGCCCCAACTTATATTCGCGTTCTACGAGCAGAATATAAATTTACTTCTTTTTCTGACAAAGGATTCTTCTCTAAAGGTGCGCTTCTTGCATGCATGCATGCTGCTGCTGCTGATGCTGCTGCTGTTGCTGCTGCTAAGGCTGATGATGATGATGCTGCTGCTGCTGCTGAGGCTGATGATGCTTCTGCTGCTGCTCATGATGCTGCTGCTGCTGCTGGGGCTAATGATGGTGTTGTTAATGCTGAGGCTGAGGCTGATGATGCTGCTGCTGCTGCTTCTGAAGCTGATGATGGTGTTGCTGCTGCTCTTGCTACTATTGCTGCGACTCTTACTCTTCTTCATTAATAATAATAATAATAATATTGGTTGCATATGTTAATTTAGTTGGTTAGTGTGTTTATGATTATTACTTTTATCATAATAATTAAAAATAATAATAATAATAAATAAATAAATAAATAAATAAAGTTAATAATATTAATATTTTATGTTCTGCGGGGTTCGAACGCAGGACCTTGGTGGCAGGTAAACAAATTATCTGAAGAAGTATTTATAAGACCTGAAGCAATACCGGGTGCAGAGCAGCATGTTAAAGAGATATTAGCAGCAAGAGAAGAAAGAAGAAGAGCTGAAGAAGCAAAGAAGAGAGAAGAAGAAGAAGAGAGACTAAGAAAAGAAGAAGCTGAAGAATTACAAAGACGCCTTGAAGCAGCAAGAGCTGCTGCTGCTGCATTAAAGAAACAGCAGGAAGAGCAGCAGCAGCAACTACTGCGACAGCAAAAAGAAGCTGAGGCTAGACAAAAAGAAGAAGAAGAAGCAAGAGCAAGAGAAGAGGAGGAAGAAAAGAAGAGAGCAAGAGAAGAAGAAGAAAAAGCAGCAGCAGAAGCAGCAGCAGAAGCAGCAGCAGCTGCAGAAGCTCAGCGTAGAGAGCAGCAAGAACGTGAAATCGAGCAGCAGAGAGCAGCAGAAGAAGCTAAAAAGAAAGAAGAAGAGAGACAAAGACAGATAAAAGAGCAGCAAAAGCGAGAAGAAGAAGAAAAGAGAGCTCGAGAAGAGCAGAGACACGAAGCAGAACAACGACAAAAAGAAGAACAAGACAGAATTAAACAAGAAGCTTTAAAGCAGCAGCAGCTAGCAGAAAAAGAAAAGAAAAAACAGCAGCAGCTGCAGCAGCTAATGCTCTCTATTACTAAACACAAAATTGGTGGTGTCCCTCTACGTGATGCTGTAAAGCTATCAAAGGCACAGCGTCTTCATAAGCCTTCTGCTGCTGCTGCTGCTGCTGCTGCTGCTGCTGCTGCTGCTGCTGATCAAGCTGCTGCTGATCAAGCTGCTGCTGATCAAGCTGCTGCTCCTGCTGCAGCAGAAGCAGAACCAAAAGCAGCACCACCTACACAGTAGCAGCTCTCCCTGCTGCTCATACCTCCATATTAGTTTTTAGTCTGACGACCCGAAGTGCAGCAGCAGCAGCAGAAGCAGAAGAAACAACACCCACCGCAGCAGCAGCAAGCAGCAGCTGCAGCAGCAGCAACAGCAGCAGCAAAAGCAGCAATGCACACAATAGGTGTTTCTCTGGCTAGGCATCCAGACACAGCTCAGCTGACCGCTAACAGCTGCTGCTACTCCCGTTGCTGCTGCTGATCAAGCTGCTGCTGCTGCAGCAAAAGCAGCAGCAGCAACAACGCTAATTCGCGCTGCAGCTGCAGCGGGTTAAAATGATAGCCTAAAGAGAGGGGGCCTCAAACGGTATTTAAAAATTATTTAGTTTATTTTTTCTTCGTTTTATTTTGTTTATTGTCTCATTTTATATTTATATTTATTTTTATTTTGTTTGCTACGTCTTTTATATTATATCTTTTTATATTTATATTGTTCTGTCTCCTCTCATTTTATTTTATTTTTACATCTATTTTATTTTTTTATATTTATTTTGTTTTATCTCTTTTTATATTTTTAGTCTCTTAGCAGCAAACTTTTTATGTAAGTGCAAATCCCTCTGCGGCCTCTCCTACGAGCAGCTGAACCCCCTCAGCAGCAGCAACAGCAGCAGCAGCAACAGCAACAGGTATAGACAGACGTAGGAAGAGCTTAATAAATATATCTCAGCGCAAAAGGCCAAGGCGTTGGCTAACAAAGAAAAGAAGCAAAAGAAATTAAAAAGAAGAGACAGACAGCAGCACTGCCCCATATCCGGCCGTGAGCTGCTGCTGCTGCTGCTGCTGCTGCTGTTGCTGTTGCTGCTGCTGCTGCTGGGACGAGGCAGCGCAAGCGTGAAGGTCTATGTGCGTTTGTATAATTTGCTGCACTACTGCATGAAGTAGGCGCGGTGTATCTAAACCCTAAACCCTAAACCCTCGTTGTAAGGGTTTAGGGTTTAGCAAATGTTGTTTTTAGAGGTTTATCTCCAGGAGTAAAAGCAAAACTAGCAAAGGTAGCAACTGTCTCTGCATCATTTGCTGCTATAAATGCAGCAGCAGACCTTCTTTTTAGCGGGGGCCCCTCAGCTGCACATACACTCCAAACCTCTCCTCTACTAGCAGCAGAAAAACTCCTTACAGACACATTCAAGCTCTCTCCCTCGTCTGTTGCTGCTGCTGCTGCTGCTGCTGGTAATGGTTCACCTGCTGCTTCCCCCGCTGCTGCAGCAGCAGTCCCTGCCGTTGGATCGGCAGCTGCAGCGGTTTCTGCTGCTGTGCCTTCTGCTGCTGCTGTTGCTGCTGCTGCTGCAGCAGATGACTTGAGGGAAATGAAAGGAGCAGCAGATCGCTCAGCAGCAGAAATGAGTTTTGTCCGGTGGGCGAAGCGGGTCTTAGTGATGATATCTCTACGCCCTGCTGCTGCTGCTGCTGCTGCTGCTGTGGGGCCCCTGAGAAGCGCTTTGTTGCGCTGCTCTCTTGTTGCTGCAGCAAACTGAAGAAGGCTGCTGCTGCTGCTGGTGATCTTCGTGGGGCGCAGCAAAGTGTTGTGCCCTGTCTCTGTCTCCGAGGCTGCGGTGTCTATGCAGCCTGGGTCTGGTGTTGCTGCTGCTGTTGCTGCTGCTGCTGCTGCTGCTGCTGTTGCTGTTGCTGTTGCAGCAAACGCGCATGCAACTCCATTCAGTGCGAATCCCTGGTGCTTCATGTCCCGCAGCAGCCGCTTGGCCTCCTTAATACTTTCGTGGGGTCCTTCAGCAGCAGCTGCTGCAGTTGTTGCTGCTTCAGTCTCTTTGCTGCTGCTGCTGCTGCTGCTCGCGACCGCAGCAGGAGCAGCAAAGGCGTCAAACGCATGCAGAACATCTGGAGGAGGGCCTGCTACCAGTTTGCTTCCCTCCTTCTGCTGCATAGACGCAGCAGCAGCAGCAGGAGCAGCAGCAGCAGGAGCAGCAGCAGCAGCAGCAGGCGGTCTTGTAGCAATGCGTACTGTAATTCCCGTTGCTTTTTGTGTATGTCTTTCTGTCTCATTTGCTGCTGTCTCCTTCACTGCATTGTTTCCAATCAGCTTATTTTGGGTCTCCTTAATGTTTGCTGCTGCTGCTGCTGCTGCTGCTGCTGCATCTGCTCGCAGCTGCTTCGCGCCTAAGCCGCAGAAGGCCTTCTCCTGACAGTCAAGAATCAAAGCCCGCTCAGCTGGAGACAGCTGCAACACATTTACATATTCACAGATATATATATATATATATATATATATATATATACATGCATACATATATATATATATATGTATTAGACATATACATG